AATAATCTGTTGGGGTTCCCCCTAATTCTGACTCTTCCAACAATTCTTTTTAAGATAAGAGTACATATATTACCAAAACATTGGATGACTACACATTTACAGAGCAGCTTAACAGTTTTGTGTTCCCACAGAGAAAAACTGAAAAATCCATTCTTCCACGGCACTATCTTAGAGCAAGTATTATGAAGTAACCTTTAATTAGAAAATCGCTTGCTACGCTTTCCTCAGGACACCAATTCAATTCAATAAAAACACGCCAACATAAACATTTTTAGGTGCCAACAACTGTGCGTAACATCAGCACTTGACTGCACTCCGGAGCACAGAGAAACCAGGTCAGTTTTCAAGATGAAATCCTGTAGCCACTGATCAAAGGGGTTTTGGGAGGGTTGAGAGGATTTCTACAGGAAGGGGAAAAGGGGATAATCAAATGTTTAAAAGCCTATGCAGAAAATAGCACTATCTTTTCTATTAAGATAAAACCGGATTTGAAAAGTTTTCACTTGCAAGCTAAACTGGTTTTAATTCCAGGAGCAAGGAGATACTCAAAACTGTACCTAAAACATGAACTTATTTGGCAGACAGCGAATACACTTTGACCTTAGCAAATCCTCTACTCGCCAGCGAGAGCGGCGCTGAGATTCTGATGATGCTTCCATATCAAAGGCAAGTCTCGTCACCGCAGGGGTAATGCCAACTTTGGGACTTGGCAAAAGTTTCTTCCACTGTGAAATTTCTACCTTGCTTTTTACTAGAACAAACAGAAGCGCCTGCCTCAATCAGAACCAGTACTACAGCAGCAAAATGCATCGCGGGACTCCCCCCTAGCAAAATCTTGGAGTAATTCCTTTTTAATGAACACACATAATGAGTGCTACTGCAGTCTCCATCAGAGATGCAGAAAGAGAGAAATTAAAGAGGAAAAGGCAAAATTCACAAAGATACAGGGTCTTGAAGGGCACTGACACATTAGGTATCACTGGTCTCCAAGGGGCAGTGACCAGAGAGTGCCTAGAAGGACAAAGAAATCTTTGCTGTCAAATATTCAGTGGATTCACTGTCCTGGAAATTATCTATTTCCCTCTCTCACATAAAATCTTAATGAGAAGATGTATAGATACTGCATAGGTGCAAAAAGAGAGCCTTCTTTCACACTCACTGAGCAATAATCAGCTTCATGGTTCACATACCTTTTGTTAATATTGCAAACTGTTTTATAACTTTCCACATCAGTGTTCTTTTGAAACAACCACCAAAATTAAATCTATTCCTAAAATTGCCTTTTAATGTAATAAGGTTAATATTAAACTACTCTAGCAGCTAATACAGGCAGATAGTATGTTGTAATGCCAACAATCTCAGAATATATTCCAAAAAGTAGTTGTTAACTAGCTCCATAACAATTTTTATTGGATTCTGAATTTAAATATAGGGGTTTCTGAATATCAAGTGTTCAGCCAAATATAAAATTAAGTAGTTTTCCTAAATTAGAAACTTTCCAAACACAAAAGTGTGCAAGACTCTCCCTGAACACGAGGTTCATCCACCATATACAGATTAGTTTGCTCAGATTAAAAACTAAATTTAATTTTTCGATGCAAAAAATTCCTGGATGTTTGCCAGTTTCAAGCCCAAAGCAGACTTGTTACTACCCTGATACAAAGCCCTGTGTATAGGACAGAATTTCATTCTACCTTTACTTAAAAAGCTGCTTGGCTCCATAATGTCTGTATAATGTATTACCAAGTCTGAAATGAGAAAGAAGAAAAAGTCTGAGGTCTTTCAAATACCATTTTCTACCCTTCCTCCCAGTAACTTGGATCAGTTTTATGCTACTTGGGAACTTCTGTTCTTAAAAGTGACTCAGATAATTCTCCTCCCACACAGATACAGGATTTAAAAAAAGGCTTCTAAACTACATCAGTATACATTTTGCATAAAAGTGTTCCAGCTTACTTCCTGCAGGGATCAAATACAAAATGCTTTGGATTGACGTGACAGAGCTTTAGTGCCTAATAACCGTGAGTGGAAAGACCTTCTTCGCCAGGTAGTCACATGAACACACAACATAATTTACTAGTGCTAAAGACAGACCTAAATTACAACCCATCAGCATCAAACTGAGTTTTTACATTTACTAGAGGTTTCAGAGAAGGTCTTATGTCTCCACTGGAATATTATATTCAGCCTGGAGAAATATAATGCTGGAGGGAGAAGATGAAGACATAAGTAGGGAAATACCTATGGCAACTCACAAAGAGAAATAAGGAGGATAAAAATCCATTAAGCAAACCAAAATCCATCCATCTCCTTCCTATTCAACAGCAATTCACATGGTAGACTTTACACCTAAGGTGGTGGAAACCTGCACAGTCCTTAATGCATCCTTATAAGCTTTCCTCCCCTAGATTAAAACGTTCCATGGGTGATTAAAACCAAATCTACCCCACACCATGCCCTCTGACCCAAACAGAGCTTAGATGAAGAGAGAGCTGACTGCTACTCAGAGCTAAACTGCAAGTAGCCATCATGATTTTGCCCTTGATTTTTCATGATGTAATGACTGTATTTTAAAAAAAACACAATTCTAAACAAAGAATATGAAGTTCTTATTGCCCTCTCTGCAGCAACAAGGTTTTCTGACCAAAAGCATGGTGGCATACATACATTCTCCATAGCATCAAATCAAGCCCCTAATCAGACGAGGTAACGCCTGGTACAAGCCTAGTTAGTAAACAGCTCAAGCTTCCTTGGCATGTTTCCAATTTTTACATTATTATAATTAACCCAATTTATGTCAGTAATTATAAAAAGGGCAGAGAATACTACTTATTGTTATGAGGCCTATTATTTTACAAAACAAAGTGAAATAAATGTTATGGCTTTCCACAGTAGCATTACAGGGATCTCACAAAAAGGCTCTCCTTACACTCTTTTGAACTGAAGCCAAAAATTATTACGTGGTTTTATTATTCTACCTGGAAAGCAGCCACAGCCTGCTAGCTATCACTGCCGCAGGTACTGCTCTCAAGAACAGAGAGGTCTGACCAGACAGCCAACCAACACTGAAGTCACACATTTGCAGTGGACAGAAACGACAGATCGGAGGTAGCAGTTTTATTAATTCTTCTAATGAAAATGATGTGCCACCAGCCAGAGAAATAGAGCATTGCTGCTTTTTTACAATCCCACAAGTACTTTTTTTTTTTCTCAACTATTGGATGGGGATTAGCCTCCTGCAAACACGAGTTTAAAAGCAGGCTTTCTTCATATGCAACGTACCCCCACCGAATCTCACACAATCAGCTGGTGGGAATATTGTTGCACTGTTTCTACTGCAAAGGGGAGTTCTAGTTTTGAGGTATGCTCAGCAATGAAATGTGAGATTTTTGAAACTTTCACCTGTTAAATTAAGCAAGATCACAAAAAACTAAGGAGAAATGTGGTAAAGGTACCAAACAGCTTTAAAGTGGAATATGCTTTTGCCATCAAAAAAACACTTCCATACCATTACCCCATTTCCAGTGTAAATCTCAGTCCCAGACCTCTTTACAAATCAGGTACAAATAGCAGTTCTACTTAACTCATTACTAACATTGGTCTTTCAGATACGATGGTGCGTAATCTCTCTCCCTTCAGCACAGTTTTCCCTGGGCTGAAGCCTGCAACAGAAGCTTGCTAAAACCCACAACGCTTTCCCTCCCAAAGGGAAACTCCAGCATTTTAATATTTGGAATCCCTGTAAGAGACACCACATCCCAGCATTTCAGGGGGCGTTACACAAAAGGCTTGGGTGACGGCGCATGCAGTGAACGGTACCTCGTTTTCCCCACAGTCAGAAGGTGTGTCCTTGTGTACAGCCATCTGATACTTGGCGAATAAAGTGGCTGACTGGTTGAAGGATGATTTGAACTGGGGGTCCTCAAAGGAGACAGGTACTAACCTCACCTTCAGAGCAAGGAAAATACAAGCATACTATTTTGAGTGCATATAACCAGATAATATGCTTCTGAAGGTAAGGCTAGTGAAAGATCTCCTCCTATCCACTTCAAAGCCTCTGATGTCAGTTCTCTGCTTTAAACACAGGAACAAGAAAACTTCCTACGGGGAAAGTCTGCCGACTAACACTAAGCTTAAACTGACTGTTGACAGTTTCATTAAAGAACAAAAATTGTGTAATACTTGAACACTTCAAAGCACCAGTTTAATCAACCTAGTTTTTGACCAAATTATCTAACAGATCAACCACAAATTTTACTTTCATTGTACAGTCTCAAGGACTTTTAAAATGTATTATTTTTAAAGCACATACTCACTGCCTTGGTTTAGTAATTACATCTTTTTGCTATATACATTTTTTTTTCCTCCAAATTCCTGATTGTTTTCTCTTTCTAGTATGAGGGAGGTAATATGCCTGACAGTTAACCATTACACACCGCCTGGTCATGACAAGAAGCAGTAACGATGTGTAATTTAGATGGAGCGCACAAATTACTTCTTGAAGGGCTTAGATTGAAAGTGAAGAGGTTTATAAAGCTTCCACGAACCATAAACTAACAATGTGTCTATGTGATAAATTCTTTACTCACATGTTGGCCCTGACCATGCTTGTTCCTCCTTATGGAAGCAGTCAAACCAAAGCCAGCAAGACTAGTTATCAAGCTAAGGGTCCAGCTGGCTTCAGTTCTTGGGAGATTTGTATTTATAAGGCCCACAACATCTATCTCCAAAAGCCTCGTCCTCTCCATCTCTCACCCAAGAGCATCTCCATCTAACTTCCTTAACCTTTCTGTCTACAATTAATACCAAATATTTGTGACACTCACAATGAGATATCAAAAGATTTTGCACTTTCAGGACGTTGATTTTAGTTGTTCCAGTATGCTACATGCTCCTGAATATACAATGGATATAAAATCCACATTTGTTTCTCCTAGAAACAAGACACATGAAATGCAGGGGAAGCTGAGCTTTGCATAAAATTCATTTGGCCTTCTGACCTGATTTATGGTTGGTTTATCAGGTGGGTCCTTGTGAATAACCATCTGGTAACGTTTATAGACCTGGTAAGACTCCTGAAATGTGGCTTTGAACTGTGAACTTGGTGGAGATGATCTCACCACCCTCACCTTCAGAAGAAGTTAAACACATGTATTATTACAGCATCATGCAATTGCTATATTTGCACACATACAAACATAACAGACACAAATTTTTACTTCCTGTACAAGGTATTATTAATAATAATTGTTAATAGTTCATCGTTAACAGTTTAATTAATGTGACCCGACAGCCTTCCAATTCTTCAGCTCAATTTAGGCTACTGAAGGCTTTTATATTTATACTGAATAACATATCAAGCTGCAAATTAAGGTAATTAAAATGCCTATAAAAGAAGCACACAAATAGCTTTCAGGAATTAGTACCAACAAACAATATATAGAACAAAATTTTAAAGAGATTTTCTGAACTTTTTTAAATCTTCTTTTGCAGTTTCCCACTATACTGAAAAATACTTGAAGGACCCTTGCACCTGAAGACTCGTGTCTGTGTGCTTTTATCTAAAGACTGTATTTTTATTGCAATAATCCTAAGGGGATTTCTTGGTATTTTTCAAATTGAAAGAGGAAGACAAAACAATGTTTCCATATTCAATTATGAGTTAATTGTAACAGGAAGTTATCCATCTTCCCCACCACCACCCTTACACACACAAAAATATAATACACTTCATAACCATCTATAAATTAGAAATTGTTCTTAGTAAAAATGATTGCTCCCTATCCCAAAGAATGCCATCACATGAGCACATGGCATTTCTTTTCAAGAACGTTTAGGACACGTTCACTTCAAACAAAACACGTCATTATCACAAATAGCATTGGTTGGGAAAAAAAAAAAGCACCACACTTGACAGCCATAGTAAGGGGTAGAGACAATATGGGAAAACACTGCTGGAACCATCCTCCTTTTTAATTCTCTCTGCATCTTCTAAATGAAGATGTTCAGACAAAGCCATCATGCTCATTATACAACTTATCAGAACATCTGGAGGAGTTAGTGAGATGGATCCATCTGATGGCTCCTTGTCACTTATTCAGTGAATCTTAAGTTATCATCATCATTACCTCTTTTGAAATTAAATTTTTAATATTCTTTCAGTAATTATTCAATATCATCATTGTTAATCAGTAACTACAGGAAAATACTTATATTCGGTATACTTTTCCAGCTTCCAGAAAAAAAAATGGTTTACAAATGTTCAAAAGTCCAAAAGTCTTCCAGATGACCGTCTCTATAGTATGAACAGATTTAACAGCAACCTGTACATTAAGCAAAATTTCCTACCATCACTTTTACAGCTTCCAAAGACATCAACACCTACCAATGATGTTTATGAAGAGCAGCTATCTTCTTATCTGTTTAACTCTGTGAAGTAACTGCTTTCTTGGCAAAATACATCAGCATAGATACTTTAAGTATTTATATATTGCAGAACTAAATATTGAATCTCTCTCATCATTCAACACTCAGTTAATTCCAAGTCTTTCATTTGCAAGTCACACTGTAGGAAATCAATTTACAAGAAGCTCTGGCATCTGCACAGGGCTCTGCTACGACGGACTGCAAGGGTGAGAGTACCCTCATGTGGTTACCCAGAGCTCAGCAGCACCATGCACTGCAGTCATGCAGTATTACGTATATTCCAAGATCTAAACTTTACCCATTCCACACAGTCACAGATACTAAACACCTAAGCATTTCAAAAACCCCTTAACTAGGCTTTTCCTTAGTGTGCCTCCAACAACAGCGAACGAGACATACCTCTAATTTGTGTGGTGCATCATCAGGTAAAGAGACAAAAATGAAGTCCTCAATGGTTTTCGGTTGGTTTGGTTTAGATTTAGAGTTTTGCAAGAGGAAATCCTGATCTCTTGCTTGAGGTGTAGAGCCTTCAGATGTGCATATCTGGTTCTGGAGGAGTTTCTGTAGTTTTCTTTCCTTTCGTATGTCCTTTGCTTTCCGGCACGGTGGCTTGCTCAGATCAGCCCCTTTGCCTGCAAGGGCACAAAGCAAGGAATTAAACACCACATTTTGCAATAAACAAGTAGTTCTTATGCGATCACTGAAAAGAAATGGTTAACGTTACCATTAACTGCAGATTGTACTTCAAACACGTCTTTCGGATTTACACCTACCGACAGGCCTGATGCCACACTAAGTTGCAGTGATTTTTCCTCTACAGATGTTTAATGCAGCACTTCAGTATAGAAACACCTTGACCACAACTCTACTCTAGAGACAAGGATATATTTGTCTCTCAGGTTGCCCAGAGAAGCTGTGGATGCTCCATCCCTGGTTGTATTCCAGGCCAGGCTGGACGAGGCTTTGAGCAACCTGGTCTAGTGGAAGCTGCCTCTGCCCATGGCAGGGGGGTTGGAACTAGATGGTCTTTAAGGTCCCTTCCAACCCAAACCATTCTATGATTCGATGATTTGAAAGGTAAAATAAAAAGACCTGCTGCTAAGTCTGTCCTTAATTCATTCTGCCACATACCCTTCTCAGAAACAATGAAAAGCTCCCGTTCAGTGTATGGACAGAATCCACTTGAAATACTGAAAGGAGAAAAAAAACAACCAACCACCCCACATGACCACAAAACTGCACAGCCAAATTCAGAGAATTGTTCTACTGCACCAAACACCCCAGTGGCTACACAACACCCTGCTGTAGAACACACACACACAGAAGCATTTTTTTTGTCACCTGGAGTTCTTATGCAGTATATAAAAATACTGACAATGTCAGCGCCACTAGCGCCTGTAAGAATGCCAGTACTAGAATTTCCTTCAATTTTAAAAAAGAGAGATGGCTGGTCCCCATGCTACCCACCAAAAGCACTGAAAGGATGGTTAGGGAACAAATAAAATGCTACTTGTAAGTAGATTACCCAGAAGGTACTGTTTTCATTGATACAGACTGTAAATCCATAAATTCAAATTTCTAAAAACTACAAAAAGCAAGAAACATCTTCCTAACCATCAGTACTGCCTTTCATCTTTCCTTCAGTATTGCCCATGGCTGTTAGCTATTCCCTGTAGTGCTCACAAGCAACCGAACACCGTGCCTCACCCCAGAAGACGTGCAAGAGACGTGTGCTGGAAGCGACAATAATTTTCAGGAACTACCTGTACCAGTCTGGCAGCTGCCGACACAGGTACCATAAAGAGTGAACGTTGCCTTCAAAACTTCAGCAGCAGCCAACCAGTATAATACAAAGTAAATCTAATTCTCCATTTTTTAGTACTTTTTTTTTTTTAAAAAAAAGCAGTAGTAGATGAGTTAGAGGCCAAAAAAGAGATGTAACATTAAAAACTTCAAAAGAAGAGACAGAGTGGAAAAAAACCTACTCCTCTATAGGGAAATACAGTCATATATTTCACACAGAACAAAAACCATAGCAAATATTATGACAAAGAGATCCTTTATGCCATTAGCTTTTTCCTGAAATCCAAGTATTTCCAAATGACACACACTGGCCACTTTTGAAAGACTCACCTTTCCAAAGGGCAAAGCACCCTGAACGGTGGTGAGGTGCATTCATCTACAGCATTTGGAACAAGGCACATTTCCAACCCTGTTAATATTTATGAGAAATAAAGAAGAATCCAAACCCAGACTTAACTACAGCTTATCCCACTTCACTCCCTCAGGAGGCCTGGAATTTACATGGATTTTTTTTTCCCCAGAACTCCTATGAAAACATACTTAGAGCTCTCTTTCTTCCTCTTTCTTCTTAGTAGTAATTTATTAGCCCAACATCTTTCTTGTCCTCTACCAGCTTCAAACCTTCCCACGGACAATGGGAACAGCGATACCCTTCAAACTGGAAGTGGTGAGAGCACTGATATTTTAAAAGCTCACTGATGTGCTTCAGAGTCACTTCACAGGCAAAGAATTGCAGCCCTCAGAGCTGCTGCCTGTATTTTCCTTTGCCAACAGGTACAACACAAAAATTGGCAAAATCCTTTATACTGGGATCAACTTTCCCCTGTCAGTAAGGATGAAATTTATTTTTCTTAATGTGCATATGTGACTAAATTCACAGAGTTTGTAAGTGTGCTCCTGAGGCAAGTTAGCAGCAACCTCTTTGTGGCTCACCCTGAGAAGTCCCAACCTGGTAGTGCCATGTGACAGCTGAAATACTGAAAGCAACTCAGGGAGTTAGAAAAGGAGCTAATACCGCTTTGGAACTCTTCAGACATCTGACAATTGCACCAGCAGATTTTTTCAAGTGCTCTCACCTCTCAGCTAAGGTCTCCGAGTATCTGTTTCATCCATACAGCTAAAATTATTCACCAGAAAAGGACAAACAATATGAGGAAATTACAGGTGTTACGTGACCTGTCCATGGGCAAACAAGTCAGAGGAAGAGTTTATTTGAAATACCCATGATACATTTGAAGAATGAGTACTTCATCTGTATCAGGATCTGTTTCATGTCTCATATCTTCTATAAGCTCTAAGTTAGAAAAAAAAATCCTTAAAACAATGAATGTGCACACAGACATAAGCAAACCTTCTTTTCTATCTGAAACTGTGCAGAAACGGCCCATTATTCCTATAAAGCAATGACCTGTTTTGTTTATAAAGGAATAAAAACGCAATTAAACAATCTTATTACAGAATAAATCTACATTTTCCAAGATGAAAACTAAACATCTTTCTATCTGGAAAATTTTAAACTAAATTTGACCTGTAACACCACCTACCCTATAAAAAAAATTTAGAGATTAATTAGATAAGGTTTCTGATGCATTTGTTATTCACTTTTTTATTTCCTTTAAAATTCCAGAAACAAAGGAACACACTAATGAATTTCTCCTCTATAAAAGTAAACCCTCTTTTTCTGAAACAGAGTACAATGTTTCAAGCTTTCTTTATGTGCATTTCCAGTGATTACAGTTTTACCCAAAGTTATTCCTAACATAACATCTTTTTCAAAACAAAGGCAGGTTTACACCCATAATCTTTACCCAAGACTGCCATCTGCTGTCAATGTCCACTGAGTTTGTTTCCAAAACAAAGTTCACATAACCCAAAGTTTTATATTAATATGTTAAAACACAAGAGGGTTCTGAAAATTTGCACAAACAGAAGTTTTATAAACTATAGGCAATATGAGGGTTGTAACAGTTTTGACTGCATTTTACAGAATAAAAATATAAAACACAGTCTTGAAAATTCTCGACAAGTTTTCCAGGGAGACATAACAGCACTGCTTTGCTGCCACATCAAGCGTGTCTTAAAACTTTCCTTTCTGTTTAGATGCAAAATTCCTTCTTAAACTGGTGAAAACCTGAACCAACAGGAGTGAGTCTTCATTAAGAAGAAACCAAGACTATTTTACTTGAAATTAGTCAACTTGTAAGAGACAGAAATCTTTGTGAAGGAGGGACACCTTCCACTAGACCAGGTTGCTCAAAGCCACATCCAGCCTGGCCTTGAACACTTCCAGGGATGGGGCATCCACAGCTTCTCTGGGCAACCTGTCCCAGTGCCTCACCACCCCTCCAGGAAGAATTTCTTCCTTACATTCAGCATAAATCTCCCCTCTTTCAATTTAA